CGGCTTTCACTGAGAGTTGGGGCAAGTTCGGTAACTCCCCTACCACCAGTTCTCGAAATAAACTATTTAAACCAAGTTACGTAATAAAGTAAGTTGTATTGCTTCCACAATTTCTATACTACATACTAGTTTTTTACTTTCTGATAATACAGAAAAGAATAAAGACACTTTCTAGTACTGCTTCAAAATATATACACGTTGCTCGGCGAGTATTTTCTTAAAAGAAAAATATACAGGCAGACTACAAAGTCATCTATTTCTGTAGACAAATGTCTCACTGTGTAAACCACATTTCGGGTGAAGGATGAGATATGGTACTTTAATTATTGCATATGGAGTACGGAGGCATAACACCTTAGATCCCTGGAATGGCAACGCGGCTAACAAATGCTAATGTAATGTCCGTGGTATAGTTCATGTTTATAGGCGATGGTTGAACTTACTATCGGGTGGTATTGGCTATTAGCTTGTTTAACATTTTTAACAAAATAAAAATATAGGTTCTTTTAAAAACTTACCATTTCTCAGAATTTTAATGTTGTATTTATTACCTTAGAATTAGAAATCTGTTGTACACACAGTACAACATTAGTTGCAATCAGACTGGATAAATTTTCCTTTTTGTAAACCATTTTAATAAAAATCTCGATGACTTGATCACTACGAGCTAAATGACCAGATTTTATTCTCTTTCCTTTATGTTTCACTTATTTACAATACTTAGGTACGCTATTAGAATACATACTAAAAACTGGTGATAATGATGATGATGAAATTTATATTCGCCTGGAAAAAAAGCTAAGTAATCGAAAATATGAAACTTACGTATGAATATAAGTAGGTAATCTAATAAATTCTAAATTGACATTATTGAATAATGTATAGGTATGCTTAATATTTTACAACTATTGACATATGTACTAATTTAATTTTATAAGCATCATTGTCATCAATATTGTTTTTTTCAGGCTCATTGTTAGATAAATATATAGATAAAAGAAAGAACCGAACGATGTTTTACTTCCAATAACTATCTAAATATTTCAGATTTATCTACATAGGTACTTAACTGTTTCAAAATAATATTGAAAATGTCTTAAATTTGTCCATTACACTTGGCTATTCTGCTCTACTGAATCTCTGTTATGAATGTGGCAGTAGAATAAATAAATATATTATTAAGTGTATTCATAAGTTTAATATACGTAACCGGTATAATAAATGTGTTTATATAAAGACTATGTTTATTCTAATTGTTTTTATGCCATAAAATAATATTCAGGAACCAATGGTATCATATTTGTGTGTGTGGAAGAACCTGATGTGTCTCCAGACAAAGGGGCCTGATGTATGATTAATGTTGACTTTCCGCACGTTCCTGTACTAACTGTAGGTATGCGATATAAATGTATGTGGATTTAGGAATCAGCTAATGAAATTATTCGCTTCTCTTACTGGATTGGGGTTGTGATTAAACGATGTCGTGAAATCGCCTGGAATGAAATTTCGTTTATGCAAGGGATCGTGCTACAAATTAATTTGAATGCAAATATACTTTGATTTGATATACATTAATTTGAATAAATTTCGTAATGTATTTACTAGTTAATATTCTGGGAGCGCTGAGAGATACAAATTGCAATTCAGGTTACTTATGTATTATAAGTTCTTTTATATGTATAAAATATTTATAAAACGGTTTGTAAGCTTAACTATATTAAATATATCTAGCATGTAATTGAAAAATAGTATTAATCTTTCTACTACAAATTTGGACAAATAATTATTTTTTTATATGATTTAAATATTATGAACTGTACTCGTTTCGTATAATTCGATGATTTACAGGAGTATTTACAGTTTTTATAGTTAAACAACTACCTACATGCAGAAATGCAATGATAAGCCTATTTCAACATACATTTTTAAATTGTCTGTAATTGCCATAACAATGTAAAATTTAATGCTAAATAATATTTAACTTAACGTTATCATAAAAAAAATCTTTAATATTTTTAAAAAGTATCATCACCATTTGTCTTTTTTCCAAATTTAGAAATCTATGACGGTCATAAATTAATTTTATTTTTAAAAAGAAAAACAATGTCGTTGCTTTTATGTTAATTTGCCTTTCCAAAACCACGTGGGTAGATTGTCGTCACAACAACCGTTATCTGAAGTTGTATAGTGTTGCTCACATTATGTAGATGTATTCACTCGATATACATCGATATATTACCGCCAACATATACAGAACCACTTCACCTCCCGTGTTAGTTTCGCCTTTTCTATCTATCAGGGGTCGACCAATAATAGTTCGAGGGTCATGAAATATTGGTGTGCAGTGTTTGGTTTGAGGTTAGCGGCTCTATTGTCGTAGCCATTGATTAATACCATAGTTTATCTACCGATATGACAACAATGGCGTCTTACCCGAATGCCTTAATGCGTTCTGCCTATAGGTTTTATTTACGTACCCATCCCTTCTGAATGTACATGGTGTTTTTAATATTTGATAATATTATTTTTGAATTCACGGGTGCTGAAACAAGATAAATACGAAATAGTATTGCAGTGATAATAAATATTCATAAGATATTATTTAATTTTAACTATCTTATAGTATAAATATTATTAACATAGATATCTATAAGCCTATTCTTCTTCTTTCGTGTCAATAGTAAACCTAAAAATATTTAAACCAGAGCTTGACAATTTTATTGGCACAAACAGCCGCCTTGTTCAGATCTTCCTTCGTTTAAGATGCTGGATACAAAGGTCACGATAGGAGATGGTACATAGTTTGGGAAGAAGTTTCGCATTCGCAAGCCTCATGGGCAGCGATACCCCATTTCGCAGGTTGTGCTTGCTAGCGATCTACCTAGCTGGGTACACAATCTTTTGAGGACTTTCTCTTATGCCAATGCATATGCCTATTGACAAATAAGTATTATATTCTAAAATGAATAAGTATTATATGGCTATGTTTAGGAAAACTAAAATAATTAGGTTAGGTGTAGATTTGAATGGAATAATATATAATACGCTATAAAAAATATCATTAAATATGGTTACATTTTGGCGAGGATGTCGCGTAATGTTGCCAGCATCCTGTACGTAGTTCTGTAAAATATTAATCATAGTTGACATAGTGCATATATCTCTGTATCATACCATTCTATGCAAATGTTTACCTTCACGTAATCATATGATGTTTACAATAAATCTTGCTGATCGGTGTACTCGTAGATTGTCGTATTTGGATAACCCGGCGTTTGGTGTCAAACTATTAGGTAATTTAAATACATACGTATTTAAAATGATGGGTAACTTGCTACTTGCAAGTTTTCTAAATATTAGCTGAGTATAATTTATTATTTCATTCTATAAGAAAACTGCAATCATTGTGGAATAAGGTATAATAGATATACATTAATTAAATTATAGTAATTAGCATTCATTACAAAAATATCATCATCTGCTTCTTCCTTATCCCATTTATTTGGGGTCGGCGTAATATGTTTTTCTCTTCCATTCATCTCTGTTCGCAGTCATTCCGTTAACGATTCGGAAATCTTTCATACAGTCCATATCTCTTTTTAGATATAACATAAATTAAATTATAGTCAAAGTGATAATAGCATTCATTATAAAGTTGGTTGAAAAACTTTATCTCTATGTAGTTACATAGATAAAAATTAAGACTACTATGAGTAAATTTTATATTTTTAACTCTATGCACTGAAAAAACAACATGGATATCATTTGAAATGAATATTACAATTGTAATGAATATATACGATTGTATATATACGTAATATAACACAAAAAATCAATAAACTTGGAGTAATAGTGCCAATAGTGTTATTGGCAGTCAGCGGATAAAAATCGATATCATTACGATCCTTTAATGTTGTACTACTTATGTGGAGAGACCTAATGCCAGCGGCTTAGGTCTCTACTCATAAAAGTAAAACACTTGGAACACAGTTTAAGGAATTTTAATACGTAGTAAATTTAAAAACACACTGTATACAAGTAACGTCTGTAAAATGTCACTCACAGCGTTCACATTTTGACAAATAGCGTCGCATCGTTCCATTCTATGCAAATGTTCACCCTTATGTAGTCACGCGAGGTTCTGATCAATACAACTGATTGATTCAATCTAAATTGTTGCGTTCTGTCCAGTTACCTGGCTACCGGTCGTAATGATGTATCGACTGTACTTACAGATGATGCTGTAGATTTGGCTGGGAGTGTTAAGACTATTAGTGTACATTCATCTTCAAACAGGTAGATGTCGTAAGTATTGTCGAATTTTTTATGTAATTGAAAACACACAAACCGTCACAAAGCAAGCACTTGGCTGTATTAGAAGAGACTGTCATATCCACGTAAATAACAGTTTATAGTCTACCTCATAAAACACACAATTCAATACTATGCAAGTACTTACCTAACAAAATGAGAAACTTTATTGTAATCTATGTACTTTGACAATAATAATCTTAGATATATGATATTCTTATTTAAATTTGAATCATAGTCTGTGCTATAAATTTAAATTTGATATTAATGACATGAGTGGACATTATGGTTTGTGCAGAATATGGTCATGTTAACGCATCACAAAGGAGGTCCACTATATAAAGATTATCTTATATTAGAGATGCCATTTATTTCAGAACAACACTAGGCATCGATTAAAATACATGTACCTACTGAATTGCATTAAATTCCCAATGTCTCAGGAATCAATATTTAAAACATTGGTACGGAAGTAAAGCTTCATTAAGTAGTTTTGAAGACTTATTATGAAAACCAAATTTAACATTATGAAAGTGTAAATAACATGTCATACAAAAATTTAGTATAGATATTTTCTAAATCTGATGATGGTAAATAAATAAATAGAAGTTGTCAAATCACTATAATATAATTTTCATATGAATCCCTTGTTATTACATATTGGTTTATCATATCACTAGAATCACGGTTAGTGGTTCAAGAATCACGTCAACGTGACTCGAAATTTGACCAGATATTTGCCTATTCTTCTCACTGATGATTGCTGATTAGTGCTGCAACAAGAATTAAAAGATAAACTTTCCCTATTTTATACGTTATTTGCAGAATTGGTAAATCTGTCCATCAATTAAACCATCCTTATTAATATTACAACTAAGTGTGAAAATTACAATAGGTATGTGTTTGTTGATTACGCTTGGGCTACAACGATTCAAAAATCCGGATATATTGTATGGTACATTTAAGAGAAGGCTTTTTTTAGCACATTATGATTTCGCAGGTCATCAATTTTGGTTTAATATATTATTTTGATGTTTCCTTCTCATCCATTGGTGAGTTTTCACGTGGTCATCCTATCCCACCGCCTCTTATGAAATCCTTGGCAATTATATATATATTGCTTAATAACCTACTACTTTTCTCACTGAGTTCACGGAGGAAAGAAGAAAGAAATGCCATGGACATAAAGGTCACATTATGTTACAGATTAAACTTCTTATGTCGGCCACAAGAATGAAATCGCAGACAAAATAATAAAATATTAGAATAAATTATTATAACAGAAAAAAACAATCGTAACCAAAATTAGTGATCAGTGAGTGACTCTATAAGTTGCAAATATAATGAATTAGAGTCGAAACACAATTAGTCATAATAAGAAAACTTGAAAATATTCACAATATTAAAATTAGAAGATAAAACATAAAAAGTACCAACTGGTGCTTTAAGTATTTAGGTAACCCAACCCACATCGTCACGTCGAGCTGTGACGCGAAGACTGTTCTCATCGCCTGAGGAAACCATTGACAGCGCACACGTGGTCTCGACGTTCGAATGTTTTGTATCCTCAGACGACTGGCCGGGTCTGCAAGCATAAACAGAGAGAATAATATGAAATTTAACACACTTAACTTTTCAACAGATTTAAAAAAATATTTTCAATTTGACTGTTTTTTTATTACGCAGAATTAGCGAATTGGTATGGTATATAGGCTAAGATGCCCCATCTGTTGTAAAGTTTTGATTACAGCACATAAGAAGTATTGATATTAAACATTTGATTGTAATAGGTACTAATAGAAGTCCTCATGTATTTTTAAGAGGACAATGTTTTTATTAGATAGATAGATAGATTAAATTATGTTTTTATTATTATTTCTTAGCTTCGCCATACTAGAATGAACCACACAGATGATTTTGTAAACTCTTTTCAAATAATCATGTACGATTAATTCATCAGAACTAGACTAGGCAAATGCTGGATGCTGGCAACTCTATCCGCAGTATCTTATTTTACCAGTTGCATTTTGATTTGAAGGCATATTTGATGAAGAAATTACATCTTAGTGGTCAGGAACAACGATTTGTAAGATGTACTGCTGTTAATATGGGTCATACAAAATATTATTAGAATTGACAACGAATTTTGTGATTTTTATGTAAGCATAATAAACAATTTCTAACAGGTGAGTCATCACAATACATTCGAAATTACACTCTATCTGTACAAACTACTCTATTTTCAGCTAATTATTACTATTCATATTACTGAGTATAGTAAGCAATATTTTATTTCAAACATAGATGTCGTAGATAACATATATGAGAGTAGATAACGTATACAAAATGTAATAAATAGGCAAGTACGAATGACACGTACTATCCAAGAACGTGTTTAGTGTCAGGCACTTACGGGTTATCTTAAATGTGTAGGCAGCAATAGATGGCCATAATAGTACAAATATACTGACGTGTTTAGGGTTACGTGCCAAAAACTTAGAAAGGAAAACTTCAGTGTCAGTCAATTCTATATAATTATAATTCTATAGATTATTTCAAATATAGAAAACAAATAAGTATTTACAATTTAGTAATATTATTACAATTTTCTGCTGTCTATCTGTTTGATACAAAATGTTAAAATATTTTTTTAATGTTACTATCCATTCTACAGAAGTGGTGTGTAAACTACGGTTGGCCTATTTTAGTTATCCTACTATGCTATAAAGCCTACAAATGAGCCTGACTTGAAATTACCTTCTAACTTGGACACTAAAAAAATTGTATATTTATTTGATTCTACATAAAACACTATCTCTCCTATATCAATGTAATGTACAGGTAAAGTAATATTATTAATACGCTAATATAATTTTTACATCGCTACATTATCTTTTTGCGATAAGCAATTTGTAAACAACATAAAAATATGTTTTAAAAAATAAGAATAACAATTTATCAACTTAATTGAGTTGTCTAAAAGCCTTTCACTCGATAAAGGAAATGGTGAAACTAATGATTACGAGATAATGCGTAAGAAATGGACGCAGGAAGGAATACTTCCCTACGTCTATTCTGAAAAAGCGAAAAAAGGTTTCGTGATGGAGAGAGGAAAAAAGACCGAATTTCGTCTCAGGAGAGTAGACTGCAGAACCTGTGTATAATACCTAGTTACATAAAGACGTAACGCATGTAAGGATTCATTAGAAACTGACATCAGTAAAAGTGGCTTTAAAGTTTATTTTCCAATGGGAATAAGAAGAAGTGATGCTGATTGTCCTGAACAAAGAAAAACGAGATATCCGTGACGAGTGAGAGAAAGATGGCAGTATAAAAAGAGTGAGATAAAAATATGGCATTTTGATTAATACACAGTCATTGCTCAGAGCGGGCTGTGTACCATTGCTAAGTAATGACCACTCCATAAAGACATGGTTAAGGTTAAAAGAAAATTACTTTATCAACGCCTTGTTTTAAATAAATATCCTGTTTCAGGAAATATTATTGGTGTTTCCAATACAAGAAATGAAGATGTTGTTGAGATGTTAAGATTTAGCCGCCTTATTTATTGCTACACAAATGATGTATTATTTAACTCGTTTATTTTGTGGGTAGGTTTTATTTTAATTCATTTTAAGAGAGAAAATTAATTTCATTCGGAACATGAAATCGATAACAAAATTTTTGGTCATCCATTGAAAAGCAATTGTCATTACGTAATTATTATTATTGACAACTAAAATTAATAACATAATGTTACCCAATGAATATTTTTATCAATTCTTTCCACATTGAATTGTATAATTTATTGTTTGACGAATTTATGAATGTTGAATTTAATAAATATTTATTTGGATATCAGATATAATAGTATAGAATTGCTATTATTAATATTATCTAATGTGCAAAATAAATTGATTAATACGCATTCTTATTCATGTGACAGAGACAAAGAAATAAACTGTTTAACTTTGTATTCAAAACAACGCCCCGAAGGACGAAGTGAAGCCAAACGGATATTAAAATGCAATAAAAAGCACTTAATATACCTAGCCAAAAAAAAACTCAATGTAAATCGTGCTATGACATTCTCATTGGTTAAAAAGGGTTAAGACAGCTGTCAGATTGGGCCGCCACCAAAGGAATAATAAATAGTCTAAGATAATCTGTGACAGATTCGTCTTGTAAAAAAGCCGGCGGTTGACGTAGATAAATAAGATTATTCAGGGTTTCAACCTTGGGCATCGGCTCTTGTTTTAATTACCTGAATTCTCACAATGTGTGTCATATGATATTCATGATAGTTATATTTTCAAAAATCGAACAACAATTACATCTATAACAATTACATTTATTACTATTTATTTTATAAATTTAAATAAAAAGAAGTAAATTTAAAAATAAGTGTTATATTTATAATTAATTGTGTATATTGCATTACATGATGTTAAATAGATTGTATCTTGAGTCATAAGGGCGTTGTCAACTCTTACAAATGGTATCTACTGTTACATGCTCTTTGATAAGTATGTAGGTATATAACATCTAACTGTTAACATTGTTTTTTAACACAATGAATTTAAGTGCTGAAAATAAACCTAGAAGTGTTGTAGAAGGGTTCAGTAGGATAATCAATTATGTATGGCTAGGTGAGGCCACCAGGCAGTTAGTTGGAATGGTCTCGCCATTACCGACTAATTCCTTGTCATTTGCGTGCGGCCGCGCCGCTACTACGGTCAACCGATTGTGTACTGAACACTGAGATTGGTCTTGGAGTTTAGTTTGCGGGTCCCTGAATAGGTATTTACCTGCCATGGTGACGCATGCGATGGTAGTTCCAGTATATAGCAGCATAAGGTTCTAAATACCTATTATCGTAAATACGTTTCAGTTGACATGAACGTTTGTCTAAAGAGTTCAATATAATTGATAAAATCTATAACATTTTATAGAAAGCAATAGAATATTTTAGTGCATTATTTCAATATTTCTTTCAGTTAGCAACGTATCGGTATCGATATGTATCTTATTTTCGTTTTAAATAGGAAAATATTCATTAATTTTACACAACATGCCAAAAATAAAGCTAGTATTTTATTATACAGAATTTATGACATTATAAAGAGAAGAAAAAAAATGTCTGTAATAACTAAATTCGAAAAATATTTGTGTAATAATTTTTTTATTTACATTTACCTACATTATTAGTGGTTGTTATATCATCTGGGCAGCATCGTAAGATTCAGTTAATGCAGTTATAGTATAAATAGTATTCATTTAATTATGTTTGTAAGTATTGAAGAACATAGTAAGTAAAGCAGTGTAAACTTGTTTTGCTCTTTTAAATAGATGTTATTTAGTAAACAAGTAAGAGGCATGCGATAATCAGCATAAAAACCGCTACGCACTTATTCTTAGTGCAATCAACGAATTTATATTCTAAATACAAATATCTTGTAGTAATGAACTATTGTATTATCTAACGTAGGAGCAATAAGAGCATTGAGCAATCGATTATAAACGGTAGGCCACGTATCCGTCGCGCAGTTAGTCAGAATGGTCGCACCATTACTGGATAATCCAGGTCATTTGCCTGTGGCTCGTGGACTATATGCCTTAGAATGTTGGATGTTCCGATGAAATCATGTTATTGAGAGTGTTCATTAGCAAAGTAATATTTAGTCAATTGATAAAAACGAATACTTGATTTTATTATATATATTCATTTAAAAAATGGACATGTAGGGAATTTAATATTTTAACTTAAGTTAAATTTAATATTTTAAGTATTGAAAGTTTCAGGTGCAAAATCTATTTGTTTATATACTGTTTTAAGTTTGACGCGGTCATTATGTATAAGTATAATTAGTAAACCACGTTTTATTTGCTTAAGAAAATAAAAAAAATATATAGATTTTTTAAGGTTTTAACTGATCATTTATTATTTAAGAATACGTAGGTGTATTAGAAAAACAAAAGTACAAGGGGAAAGAGAAATGACACATTCAGTAGGCCCGCGTCGCGCCTCCATCAATCACGAACAATATTTGCTATTGGCGTAATCTGTGTGCCCAAACTTCGCCCTTGAGGGACACACACACTATGCGACAAAAATCGACTCTCACGGAAATTATATTGATATTCAATACACAATAAATGGGCGCTGTCAAAAACTTGCTGTTCGCTCCTACGGTCATCCCTAAGCTATCTGTGTCATTTGCCATTCGAAACGCATTTTGCCATCTCTCTTTTACACGTATTGGCACTGAGGAAAGAATGGAATAGCTATATTTAGTCTAGTTTCGCTCGCTTTTGTCACGAGGACTGAACTAATTTTTCATCATAGGGTCCGCGACAGTTACAAATGCTACCCGAACTGTCTCCTTCTTTAATAATACTTTTTATATATTTTTTTCAAGGGTAGTTCGCCCTCCGACGAATAAAGATTTTCATCTGAACGCTGGGGGAAAAATTGGAAGAAGCTTAAAATGCAATTTGTTTAACTGAACATTTTAATGCGCACGCAATTAGAAAATAGATCGGACAAGAGAAAATGTCAGGTGCTATATAAAAAGAACTTTAAAG